CTCTCACTCTCTCGCTCTCTCTCTCTATTCCTCTGGGCACACTTCGTGTCTCAACCCACATGCCAGATTGCTCTAGTTCAATCTAATCTTAAGCATATTGAGTGCCACCCCAAATTGCTTGCACCCTTGTTACTACCCAGCAAGTTGTCACCCCATTACTCTTCCAGTCAATTGTGTGGCTGACTCACAGCTCAGACGTTGTTTGAAGAGTTACATATACAGAGTATGTTGACGCTTAGAGAGGTTAATTTCCTTGAGCAATGTCACACAGCTTGTGCAACCAACAGGGAAACTCATGCACATGCAATCCGACCACAAAACCCTATCCCTGGCTATCTTAAAACGCAAATTTCCTTTCACTACTCTGTTGTGTGATTGCTTTTTGTCTTTTTCTCTCTGAGCCATCGTACATTGCCCTCTCTTTTTACCACTTTGCTTTCCTTAGTTTCTGAAAGCATACCTATCAAGGTTACCAGTGGCCACCTAATTATAAATCAAGTGAAACACTTTTCAGATATCATGTGATGACTTCTCTGCTGCATTTGGGACTGTAGAATATTTCCCTTACTTGATGTGTTACATTTGGCTTAGCTAACATATGTGTCATGGTTCTACGTCCTTTCATTTTTAGAATTCATGACAAGCTGGGTTGCCAATTTGACTGACTTCAGGGCTGTATTAGGGATCAGTGAGGCCACTTCTGGTGGGTCCTGAAAGTGTGACCTGAGGCTTTCTATCTGCTCCCTGCTTCCTTTCTGCTTGGTTCTTTCCCTGCTCTTCCAGCCACCATGAGAACAGCAGCATTTCTCCAGCAGCCCTTAGTGTACTCCTGGCTTGAGGCTCGCCAGCCACGGTTTGGACACTAAAGCTGTGAGTGCGTGGTGCTCTGTTCCCATAGGGTATAGGGCCAGGTATCTTTCCCAGTAATGGACAAGCTGACAGTGAAGTCTTCTTCTCCACTGCTAACCCCTCAGACCCTGGTGTTGCTGGGTTCTTACCCAGGTCTTATCTTTAGACCTTTGTGTCGCAGCTTCAATCACCACCTACACAGCGACTGTTTCTTTAGCTTAATATGTATTAAGTCTCCCTCCTTGTGCACCCCAAGGGCACTGTGTAAGTCTCTGAAGATGTTCTTGAAGGATCTAGGTCTCCCCATCCTCAATCTGTGGTTATCCACCCTGTCCTTGAATTCGGGGAGGGAGCCTGCACCCTCTCTTAACTAATGGAATGCTGAGAGAGTGGCGCAGGGTTTTGAAAAGAAGTCATTAGAAGCTTGGCAGCTTCTGCCGCCTCCCCCGCCCCCCCAAAACGGTCATTTGTGGATCATTATTTTATAACTCATCCGGTCTGCTGTAAGAAGCTCAAGCCACAGAGAGAAGCCACATGTAAGTGGACAAGCCCAGTGGGGCTCCGACCCCATGCCGGCATTGCTTGCCATCTGCGTGCATGACCTGTCCTGGACAATGAGGCCAACTTGGCCTTCACATGACTGTAGCAGAGCTGACATGGAAGAGAAACTGTATGCAAGTCTCCAGGCAAGAACTGTCCAGCTGGCCCGGCCACCTCCCAGAGCAACGTGCAGTCATCGTAAGAGTGTTCTGAAGGTCTGACCTTGGGGGTGATCTGTCATGCAGCACTGGTAACTGGGATGGGCACAGCACATACCATAGTCCAAGCTAAATGCACGGTCGTTCTCCTAAGTCAAGTCTTCCTTGTACATCTCCTGCCCTTGTAGCGAGAGACACAGCTGTGTACTCTACCTTAGAGAAGGAAGTCACCCTTCCACTTTTCTTCTGCATCAGCTCCTACCGGTCTTCTCCCCCAGCTCCATACCTTCGACCATCTGGGGAACCCTTAGAGTCTCCTGGCTCTTGGTTTTGCTCCTACCCCCCTAGTCAGACCCTACCACCACTTGTGGGCGTGGTGTGACATGGCATCGAAAGTAGATGCGAGTTTCCACGAGTTGAGTTGCATCTCCAGCTCTTTGCATTTTACTTTTGTAAAATGAACTCTATGTTTCCCGGGCTGGTCCCCAACTTACAACCCTACTACCTTGATCTTCTGAGTAAGTAAGATTATGCAGAAGAACTACTTTTCCCAGCTGACCTGACCGTCATTCAATGTGCCCCACGAAAACACATGCTAGAACCACTGTAATAGGATTAAGAATGGTTAGGAGATGCATGCCTCTTGACGCGCACTGTCTTGGGGTTAAGGCTTCTATGTCTCCCTTTGTGGTGGCTTTGTCACCTTCTAACTGCGTGACTTCGACCGGCTTCACTACTCCCTCACGCGCCAGTTTCCACAATGGAATCACAGCAGGGACAAGCTCTTGTGGCTCGCATGAGGCCTGAATAACTGACCCGGGTTGCAAACCCCATCCATGCCTAACCTCCAGGGCATGCTGGCCACCACCACCACCTGCTCTTCCCTAAAACTCCATCTCTCCCCATCTGCTCTTACCTAGAACTCACGATTCCATTGTGGGAAGTGGCACGTGAGTGTATAGTGAAGCAGGTCGAAGTCACACAGCTAGAAAGTGACAAAGCCACCGCAAAGTGAGACATATAGGCCTTAATCCCAAGACAGTGCATGCCAAGATGTGTGCAAAGGTTCTGTGGGGTCTGCACTGAACCACGCCCAAGCCTGCCACTCTCTGTCTCTGTCTCTGTGTCTGTCTTTCTCTGCCTCTGTCTGTCTGTCTGTCTCTGTTTTCATTACTTCATTTCTTTTTCTGCTTACATTGACACAAGGTCTCACCAAGTTGTCCAGCCTGGTCTCAGAGTGGTGACCCTCCTGCCTCAGCCTCCCCAAGCATTGGGATTAGGGCATGCACACTACACTTGGCCTATCAGATCAAGTCTTTTGGTGCAAGAGCCACACACAGGTCAGGAAATAGCAGCTTGTTCTGCAGTCTCTGTGTGAGAGGCCTGGGGCCTGGTAGTGTCTGCGGCTCTTACTGTCCTCAGAAGTAGTGATAAGCATTCTTTCAGGACCTTAGAGAAGGAATTGGCCTTTTATGAAGATGGTAGAGTTCATAGGATAAAAAATTTGACATTCTAGTAACGAGTCATGTTTGAAACGCTGTAACATGTGTTCTGCTAAGCTCTTTGCTGGAGTACTGGGCCCGTCTTCACTTGGTTTCCCGAAGCATGTTCCCTGAGAAAGCACTATGTGCCTGGCTCACCAGTGAGCAGTGACGACTTCGTAGCAAAGTCACTTCCAGAGATGCTCAGCTCTGAGCAGGGACGCACATGTCAGTGAGGTCATTTCCCGCAGGTTGACCAGCAATCTGATGCAACCGATGTCTGGGACCCTGGATTGGACTTCTTTCTTTTCTGCAGCTAGCTAGCCGTTTATGAGCCAGAAGCCTTCGGATGTCATCCAGAATCAACTAGCTCAGGTCAGAGGGCCAGTGGTTCCTTGGACTACCAAAACATCATTCAGTAAGGATCTTTGTGAGTAACCTCTTCAAGTTGAAACTTAAGATAGTAATTTGCTAAAAACCCTTATTGGGTCAACGCTGCTGTTTTTGAACATTTTTGGAGTTCCAGCTTGGCTGCTGTCCCTTCCTGCATCCATCTGTTTAGCTCTAGAGATCCCAGGGTGTACAGAGTGCTGCCCTGGGTTCTGAGAAATGCACTGACCCACAGCCCTGTCTGGAAGGCAGTCGCAGCTTAAGTGGGAATGTAGCGAATGACACAGTCATATAAGTTAATCGCTACAAATAGGGAAAGCAACTCACAGGCCTTGAGTGCCCCGAGCTCCAGGCACGCCTTGGCCAAGCGCTGGCCGTGACGCTGCCTCGGAGTAGAACGTGGAGGGAGCGTCAAAGCACCAAGGAACTGGGGGAATGTTGCCCTGCTTCTCTTCTCCACCTTTGGGTTTTGTACGTGTTGTTTCCTCCTCTTTTCCCTTCACCTCTGTCACCAATACAAGTAACATTCATTTTTAAAATATCAGCTATGCCTGATTTCTGGGAACCCCAAGGAACATGGCCTCCAGACACACGCGCACACACACACAACCCGATTGTGGTCTCAGTACCACACTGTAATTTCTCTATTAGAGTTGCATGTACGCCAGGGCATTACAGTCTCTCCCTCCTCTGTGCCCTTCTTCCTGATGGACGTTAGGCTGTGGGACGGCAGCGACCGCAGGCGTGCTGCTCGCCAGCACTCTGCCTGGTGCGCTGCTTCCTTCCATGAAAACGTGCGGGACGCATGGGCAAGTGAGCACATGAGAACCAGCGCTAGACCAGAATTTGGAGTGCTAGTGGCTCCGTGCCATGACTCCCTGAGCATTGCGTGGGTCTCCCTTCATGTGGATTTGTAGGTGGCATACGATCTGTGAGATGACACAGTGTTTGTTAAACGTCGGTGTTTATGCTCTGACAGTGAGGCTAGCTGCGAATGAAGAGGACGGTCTGCTGATAGCAACTCGTGGCTTCCATCGCCGTACGGACCTGCTGGCCTCCCCCGGAAATCCCTGCCTTAGACTGAGCCTCGTACTGAACAGCTTTTTCAGAATATCATTCCCTGTGCTAAGCAAATAGTTCAGATAGAGAAGAGGTGGGATATGAGTTAATTAGAATAAGATGCACAAGTAGGTCTGGAGACACATACTCTTCAAATTCTTTTGCTATCAAGAATCAGACCAAAATCTGTGAAAACAACCGGGAATGTACTCCAGAAATACAGCCATAGAAACAAGGGCTCAATGAGCAACTGTGTTTAATCATAAGTAAATGGATTTTATTGCAAAGAGAAAGTAGCTGAAAGTTACAAGTAAGTCTTTTTTTTGACAGGGAGTACAGGGTGTTCAGGGTCTCACTGCGTAGATCAGACTCATAGTGATTCTTCTGTTTACAGCCTCCCAACAGTTGGGGTCACAGGCGCTTGTGCCACCATGCCCTGTCTCAATCACTGTCTCAGTGCGCCCCGGGGGCAGGGCTGGCATGGCAGGCCAGGGGATCAAACTCCCGAACCCTGCACAATTAAGTCTTTAAGTGTCTTTCACAAAGTCCATCGAAATGATTTTCAGTGTAGCTTCCTAAGTCCAGCTTTTGCTCTATCGCGATGAATGTTTGAATAAACAGCCCAGCCTGAGCTCTGCTCTCTGCCCTTCAGTCTCTGTCCAAGGCATGGTCCTCCTGAAAGGGTCTCTCCATGCTTGAGGCTGACAGCTCAGAGGGGTGCTCTGTGCCTGACAGGGCCCGTCAGTCCCCCACCCTAAGGCGAGGATGACCCTCGGGAGTGAAATGACCCTAGGCAAAGAACACAAAGGGCTGCATGTGTGTGCAGTGTCCTTCAGAGCGAGCTCCTCATCCTTACGTGGTCTGGAGAGGGTCCCTTCCCCCTTTTGCATGAGCCACTGGGCTGCCAGCTGTCACACAGCGATGACTTCCTTTTCATTGTCCATCGGTGTTAGTGCACGCTTGCTTATGTGATGCAGGCATTCACCTCGGCATGGTCCGCAGTCGCCTCACCACCTAGATCTCGTCGCCCCTTCCCCTGCCTCCTTCCCTTTCTCCCCAGATCCCCTTCCCCCCTGAAAAGTTCTACGGCCCTGGCTCCCTTCATTCTGTTCTTTAAATCACTTACCTTTGGGTTTTTCATGAAAGAGAAGCCTTGTGCCGTTTGACCGCCACGCACAGTGACTTCATCAGGGCCTGTGCTCCGGGCGGCTTTCAAATCTCAGGCCATCCTGTGTGATGCAGGTGTTCAGAAAATAGGCCCACCCACTCCAAATCAGACTCTCTGCGCATTTCATATTTACTTTTTATTGTGTGAAAATGATTTTGGTTTTAATCTAATGTGTCTGAATTGGTTGTTCACATTGACCATAAACTGGCAATTACTCAACTTTGATTCAGTTTTGGAAGCTATGGACAGAAAAGGTTGAAGTTAAAAAATCTTTCCATAATCTCAGGCTAGCCACACAGATGAAGAAGTGAATGAATTAGACCTTCTGTTATCCCAGTTAATTGTTTTATCCATCAGGGATTTAAAAGGGAATCTGAAAATGTCTTGCATGATGTGAACTTTATCTGCCACCAACTGTAGTGACAGAAACTGTCTGGTCTCACCGTGAAATTCCAGATGAGGAGAGGCCTAGGGCCCAGTCTTGCCACTGCTGCTCATGCACTACACCACCATGGGCAAAGCAAATGGAGCTTCTAAGATTCCAACTCCTTATCTGAATCAGAAGAATGATACTCCCTATGTTCAAGGAGTCTTAGGAAGTAATGCAATCCTAACTGGGTTTCATTTAAGAATTACATGAGGTAATGCACAAAAATATGGCAGAGTGTGTCATAGGTATTATTTGGATCAATGATGAAAGTTAGTTCAACATGCCCTGCATTAGAAAAAGAAGTAGTGTTTTAGGCCGAAACCAACTGCTAAGTGACTACAGGGAAATCTGTTATGACAGAGACATGGTGTGTGTGGCGGGGTGGGGGGTGGAGAGCAGAGGGACAGGGGAGTGTTTCTAATCTTACAGTTCAAGGGAAAATACAGTTTTCATCACATGGGAAATCAGATATCTTTTAGGAACACTGAAGGCACATCCTGAAAGAGTTAAAATGATTTCTCTTAAGATGAACAAATTTCCCTCATAAAAATTTACTTAGACCAAGTAAGGAGGCAATCATTATGAAGTAAAATTCTTATCCTTGCACGGGTTATATAGTCAGGGAATCAATAAATGTCCCAGAAAAGCTAATTTGCTAAATGCAACCTTTACGTAAAAATATTTTCCATCTATCAAAATAATGTGATTCTTATTAAATATAGTTGAAATTTTTTATCTTTTGACAAAAAATGTGCTAAGATAAAGGGAACCAATTGTGAACAACCTGCCCTTGGAGTTTTTAGGTGGGAAAATAGAATGTGTCTATTTTAAAAATTCATATTCTATATGAAGTCAAAATACCTTGATATCAAATCAGAAATGCAGAGAGAGAGACAGACAGACAGATAGACAGACAGACAGACATCACCTTGGCTAAGTTTCGATCCCACCACACATCAAGTCTGTAGCCTTGGGAAGTTCACGTAAATTCTTTAAGGTTTCAATTTTTTGAAAGCCAATGGGAGATGCTGACATCTTCACTATCATTCCTACTGGGCTGATGTAAGACCCAAAAGTGGCAAGACTTAGGAAAGCAGCTAGTGGCATCTTCTGGAAAGAGTTCAGAACAGCCGTCACAGGGAGGCATGCATACCCCGCTCACAGTAGTGCGGTCACAGCATCTAAATCTTGGAGATGGGCCCTACGTCCACCAGTAGATGAAGGGATAAAGAAAGCGTGGCATTTACACGCAATGGAGCACCACGTGCGGCAAAAGAGGGCGAGCTTGGGTCATCTGCAGGAAGATGAGTCCATCCTGACACTAACGTTATGAGAAATAATTCAGAGGTGAGCTTAAATTCACATGGCTTCTGTTATGTTAGAAACACGAAGTATAAGTAAAGAGCAAAATAGAAGACAGGTAACAGAAAATAGGGCGACAGATATTTAGCACGTTCCAGAGGGACCGCAATGGGGGAGAAGCTGAGAAAAGAACAAAGATGCTCTCCGCACATAAAAAAATAAAAAATTGAAAAAAGAAAGCACACAGCAAACTGTAACACCAGAGAGTGGCTCCTTAGTGTGCTCGTTTTCCTTCCCCTGCCTCCTCCCAGAGTGAGAATTAAACGCGGGTTTTCCTTTTCGCTTCCTGCCATCTCAGTTCATGAGCCACCCGAAAGCCCCAGCATTGTGCATGAGCGGAAGGTGTGTCTTCAAGTCTTATCAGGCCGACGCAGCAAGCTAAACACAGACATCTCGTCTCCTAAGCAGCAGCGCGAGGTTTAACGCTGAGCACAGCATGCCACAGAAGGAAAGGTGTTCGTAGGGTTGGGCCCGGTTCAGAAAGGAGGCAGCTGAGCGCGCACGGACAAGTCACGCGTGCGAACGAGGAGCCTGGCCCGCAGGTGGGGCCCTCTGCCTCCACACCTGGGTGTCAGCCGTTCTCCGTCTTATCCTTTAGTTTCCTCCTCTGCAAACTCACAGAGCTTGACACACGTCCATAGACGTATGTCCCATAGCAGCGTTATGTCTGGAGTACACTGAAATAGAAGCAAAGTGAAGAACAAGCAAGTTAGATCCCTTTTCTCCCGGCTGTAAGAAGGACGGTCGGTCGGTCGGTCAGTCGGTCGGTCGGTCGGTGGGTCTGTGCGGTTGCTGCCCTGGGCCACGAGAGCAGGAGCCGAAGAGCAGGTGATTGGCGGGGGCAGGCTCCGCCCCCGGCGGGGAGGGAATCAGATCAGTCCTCCACCGGTCAGTCTTGCCCTCTAACTCGTGGGGAAGGGATGGGAAGGGAGTTGGGACAGAATAAGCTGCCAACTTCCAGGACAGGGGCTCCTGTGCTAACGTGGGGCGCGAGCCAGGAAACTGTCCGTGCCAGCAGGTAGAGAATTTTAAGATAAATTTTGGTGGGGAGATGAGAGATCTCCGATTATTGCCAATATGCCTGAAAGTTGGTGATGGATGGCTACATCTTTTCTGCATCCCGATTGTCGATAATTCTGTCCATGTCATTCCTTAGTGTACTGAGAAATACGTGAAACACAGTACTGTGATATTTAGCTACAGGGTAAAGTCACAATGCAACGAACTAACTTGCAGATCGGAGATGAAAGGAGCACAGGGGAGTCCTGAGCGGAAGAGATCTGCCGTGGACAGAAGCCATGCGTGCGCATGCCGGCCTCGGGCACTTCCAGTCCTTGCAGGAAGCTGCTCACAGTTTTGAAAACAGGAGCAGGAGTAGTGACCTTCAAACGTCAGCTGGTGACAGTGCCGCTGAGCTCAGCATGGAGAGCAGAGCGGGAGGTTATTTTCCCGTTCAAAACCCTCACAGACTCGCCTTGGCATGCCCACTGCCTGTCCAGAGAATGGCTCTACTTGGGAGGGAAGAGCCCACTTAAAAGCACCCGACACTGTTTACACTATCAGAAGATGTTACTACCGCAGGACTCAGGTACATTTATTTGTTCATTTATTTCTACCTTTTAATAGCTACTGGGGCTGACACTTCACTGACTGTTTCCCCGGCTTGGTTAGGAAAACCCTCCAGCCGAGGGAACAGCATCTTCACTGGAAACGTGTCCAAGTGCGAGAGATGATCTGCCTCCCGGAGGTGACTCTCCCAAGCTGGACCGACCTCTGCGGCGACGTTCTGCCCCCCATTCTACTTTGGGAGGAGGCGAGGGCACAAGTTCATTTCTGTACTGCCCCTCCTGGGTTCCAGGCGTTCCTGTCTGTGATGCTCCGGGCACTATGAAGCTGTCTAACAAGCCCTGAATTTGTAATTTACGAGCCCAGGAAAAGGGTATTCATCATTTGAATCATCCTGGAAGCATGTGTGAGAGTTAGGGAAGGAAACTTCTCCTAAAAATTCTTTTCTAGGTGTTTTCAGGAGGCTGGCCACACCTGCCTGCCTTGGAGAGATTACTGTGTGGCCTCCTGATCCCTCGACTGTCCTCCCAGCCCCAGTGAACTGGGAAGTACAGGGCTGAAGGTTCTGCTTGTGAGTTCCCATCAAGGATAAAACTGAAAATAGGAAGCCTTGGCTGCTGACTGTGAGATAAACTTGCTTAAGCAGCCTGCCAAGAGCAGCCGATCATATGAAAAGCCACATGACTAACGAGAAATAATTGGAGCTTAAAAAATGCCAGGGTCGATGAGTAAGATTTCTTTCACCATGGCATCCAGTTAAAGCAAACTCACCCACTCGCAAGTTCTTAGGGCCCATTATCTTTTGCCCTGGAACATCTCACTTGCCCTGATGTGCAAACTAAACAATTTCACTGACACAGCAATGTCATCCTTTATTGATGACAACTAGCTGTTCACTTATTTCTGTTTCATTATTGATTCCTCCATTTCTCTATTTGACACATGTTTAAAGCCTACTGAGTACTAGGTGTAGCAAAAGAAACAAATAACGTTTCTTTCTTGTAAGGGTTTTTCTTATTCTTCCAAAGTAATACGATTTTTCTTTCCTAAAACATACTAGCATTTTGTTTACAATTGTCCCAATCGACCTATGCCATGTTGCCTTGTATTGTAGCGCCTGAAGAACATTTTTCTAGTATTTAGAACTAAGGTAATTGCTCTAAGTGTTTAGTGTACTCCGCGTAGTCTTAACCTAGGTGATGTTCCTGATATTGTGGAAAGAAAGGCTGAATATTCGTTGACTTGGGGGAGTCAGCTGATCGCCAGCTCAGCTGTACTGTTGGGTCCTTGGAGGGCCACACTGACAGGTGTGTGGAAGTGGGCCAGGCAAGCGAGGCCTTCAGCGCCACACCAGGTAGGAGGAAGAGAGGAGGCACGTGGGTGAGGAGGACAGCTGCAGTAACGAGGACAGACAGGTTTTGGCTAACAGCTTTATTCCTATCTGTGCCCCTGGTTTCTCCGTCAAACATTTCTGATATTGGGCGCTCCTCCATGTGAGCTTTGTTTCTAGAAAAGCAGCTTGGATTTCTGACACACTGTTTTTATTTAATTGCTCTAGTTCAAAGTGGCTTTTGGAGATATGCTAGGACTCAGCACGGAGCAGATACAAAGCGAGGGGAAGGGCAGCACATGGGGAAACGCCTGCTATGCAGCAAGCATAAAGTACGCACTTGTTGCTCTTCCCCTCACGTACCCCCTTCCCTGCTTTTGGACATAATGAATAGTTAAGGGCCCAGGTACTGATAATCCAGTCACGAACATCTGATTATAAAGTCAGAGGGGTTGGCAGGGAGATTTGTTGGATACTCAGAAGCTAAGTTATGAATCTTGAAAGTTTTATGTCTCCTCCACCTTGGTACTGGATCCACTTCTTAGCTACGGCAGAAGATAGATTTCTCCTGGAAGTTATGTAGCAAATCATCTGGAGGAAATTTGCTCTAGGAAGTTAGAGAGTAGATTATCATGCTGGACATCTTTAGTGGCCACAGAACGGCCTCGGTGTGCTCGCAGGGCACAAGCACAAGAGCGCGCACCCCGTGGTGTGACTCGTCCAAAGCGTTGCCGATATGTGAAGTCCGGTGATCCCCACTGGGATTCCCCGCCGTTCGTTCCACAGCCTTGATGCTGCGCTTTTCCAGCACTTCTGCGATGCCTGTGTTCTTACAGAGCAAGTCCACAGTCAACCTTAAGATTTATATGCAGCACACACTTCTAAGAGTTAGGCTTCGCAGTAATGATTCACGACCATTGCTAAAGTTATGGATAAAGCGACAGGAGAAGAGCCAACTAGGTTGAATGTGGAAGAAAAACACAGGGATAAAAGTTAGTGGGAAGTATTTGCTCTCTATTCTTGCTTCATGTCAAACTAAGAGACTCAATGGTATCAGAACTAGGCTCCCGTGTAACCCACCACAGCTGCTGCTTTGTGGCTTACAACAGCACTTTATTGTTTTCTCTTCTAGTTTTGTGTATTGAACTGAACTGCAGGTTCTTCCCTTTGCATGTCTGACACTTGGCCTTGCTTGGCTTAGTCCTTCCCAGCAAAGCCACTTGGATTTCTGACATAGCAGCTGAGGCCCCAAGAAGCAAAACATTTTTGTGAAAATTTAAGTTCTCACAAGTAAGGTTAGGTCATTTTCACCATGTTCTGTTGGTCTAGGTACTTGTGGGCCAGCCTGGCTTCAAGACAGGGGAGAAGTCACCTCTGTCCCTGCAGGTTGTGTGGGTGCCAAGGAAGGAGCTTCAGAGAGCAGGCGATGGCTATCGAGGACATGAGAACACTCCACTAGCCAGCAACCACGCTCTTCTCATACACGAATTGCCACGCTTTTATTATAAAAGATCATTTTATAAAAAATGTATGCTTTGGTTGACTCGGGATGGCTTCTATAAAGACAAACAGGAAATGACAAGTAGAGCTGGAGGTCTGGGGTAGTCAGGCCCTTCGTGCAGCCCTAATGGAAATGCAAAGCACACAGTCATGCGGAACGTGGTCCGCCGCAGCCTCGGGAGAGTGGAGAGTTAGCACGTGCTGCCTCCCAAATAGATAGCAATGGCAAAGATGGTGTTTATGTTGTGTTTATTCTTCCAAATAATGTTTTAAAAAATCTTTTGCCTAATTTGATCAAGAAATAAGTGATAAATACATGGTAGCTGACAGTATATTAAATTCATCCTGTATTTAGAAAATCAGAAACTTAAGAATTTTCTTGTATCTTACAAAACTCATCCAACATTCCAAAAGGATTTTGACATACAGTTCCTTACTTCAAAGATTAAAAACAGATCATTAAATGTTATTGTTCAGAAAATAAGGTGAATACATTTTGACTCTTCTGTAATTCTTTGTTGATTTTCCAGACAAACCAGTTGTATACTTTGCTTTTATTTTTAAGCTTAGATCTTTAGGCCTATGTAAATAATTACACAATTATGCTGGTCATAACTTTTAATCATTGTGCTCTCTTTAACTCTACAGAGGTGTAAAATGATGTAAACTATCCTAGGTGCCTTAATCAATCCCGTGCTAATGTATTAGATTTAACACATTAGGTTCCATAGGAGCTGGAAATCAAATGAGGTGGAACAAATCTAGAAATGCCTTGGAGTTGGAGAATGCTCTGGAAAGAACCAGGGAAAAAGTTACCAGGTATAAAATTAAAAGGTAACCAAGCTCACTGCCAGAAATTTCTGCAACAGGGAGAAAGGCAAACAGCAAAACAAATCAAGGGCAACATAAGAGTAATCTCTCAAGAGAATAGAGCTACACAGGAACATAGAAACAGTTAAGTTTTTAATTAATTAAGTTTATTGGAGCTGGACATGGTGGCACATACCTGCAATCCCAGAACCCAGTAGGCTGAAGCAGGAGGATCACTGAATTTGAGGCCAGTCTGGCTACAAAGTGAGGTCAAGGCAGGATCAACTGCAAAGTGAAAATCTGTCTCAAAAAAACCCAGGTTAGTTGGTACATTTTGGTATACATAACAATCACATTCACCACCGGGAGCATGTTCCTGAAGGTGACCTGTCTTGATTCTTTCCCCCTCACTCCTCTCCCCTTCTTAAGCCCATCTTTCCTCCTATTTACAGAAGCTTTACTCCATTTCCTTCTTTTCTTGTTTCTTCCTTCCCTTCCTCCCCTTTCCTCCTCCCTCTTTCCCCTTCCCATTTGAACATTTTCTTCCTATTTTGCAGTTGGGTAAGTCAGTTATTAAAAAGCTCCTTTGTATACTTGATGAGCTGGATAAGGCAAGCTAAAGAAGGATTCATTGATAAATACACTCATGCAGTGACCCAATGAGTATTCAAGACAGGAGCGTCTCCTGGCTCCATCCCACGGACACTTGCTGTCAGGTTGGAAGGATTTGCTATATCCTAAGAAACCCCCATTGTGGGTGTGAAAAGGTACTTGGCTCCTCGTCCGCGGTCACGACTCCTCAGTCAACCCATGTGGTGTGTTTGCAGGGGGCTCAGTGTGTGGACTTGTTAATGGATGGAACCTTTCCTTTCTGGTCATGGGAAGTGCCAGAGGCCTCTCATTGGCCCGTCTCATGGGGCAGGTCTGAGCTGGTCTTGTCCCCTACACATTGATTACCCTCAGCTAATGTGGGTTTCTCATGTAGCCGTCTATTAATGGTTAATTTGAAAAGAATTAATAGTCACCATAATTTTCAGCATTACACCTGCTAAGTCCAACCTGAGAAGAAATGTGACAGCCATTGAAGGGTGGTGGCCTACACAGCACACATACAGTCTGCTCAGATCTAGTTTCTTCTAAAGCAAAAGTATTGTGGACCAAGGGAAGTCAAGGCCAGCAACAAAGAGAAGATTTGAGGGCCACTGTGATATTTATGAGGAGGGTTTGGTAGAATTGTGTAGGAAACACTTAATATTTGTTTTCTCACTTACAAGAAATCTAAATAAGGTTTTATAATGAGGATGAAGTGACCTCAGAAGGAGCAGCACATGCCATGTTGAGTTACCACACATCCTGTGTGCGGAGAAGCTCCCAGCAGCAACTCCGATAAGCAGGGCAGGGAACCACTTCTCCAGTGAAGAACAGCAAAAGCAGTCTCAATTTCCAGAACTGCCAGGTTAATCAAAAAGGCTGGAATGAGTCCCAGGAATTTTTTTAAGTCCAGTCAAAAGCCTAAAATAACCCCTTGGACAATGGATGGAGCACCGGTGGGATGTAAGGAGGTATCTAGGAACCAGTAGTCTCGAAGGGAGTTTACAGCAAATGAAGTGATTGCAGAAGAACACTAGGACAGAAAAGCAAACACACATCCTTTGTGCACACACTGAGGGGGAGAGAGGGAAGGAGGGGCACTGAAGGGAGAGAAGAAACATGGGAGCCCACAGCGGGGAGGAAGCTGACGAGACTTGAACTTCCCCAGAGGATAAGCACAAACTTTTCTTTTATTAATTGTCCTTGGCACCAGATTTATCCTCCAGATGATTCAAATCTAGGAAAAACCCTGTGAGGAGGAGACATTGTATTCCGAAGTGGGTGTTCAGGGTACAATAATAAACCGAAGGCTTTCTCTTTTCACTCAAAGCCCACAATGCCCAGTGCGAGCAATCCAACAATAAGAGCACTGTTGAATCCCTTGTGAAAAGGGACCCCTCAGAAGTCTCTGGAGTCCCCAGAGAGCCCTGTGGGTGCCCAAGGACCTATGGAGAACCTATGCAGTGTACTTCTAGTGGTGGAGTTCAAATGCCTTCTGACCCTTTCCACTTAGTCTTTATGGTTATACCTAGGAGTACATCTGTTTGACTTGATAAGGTGCGTCTATAAATACTCTTTAAGGAAGTTAGGAAATATAATAAACACTAGGAGAAGATAAGTTTTCTCCTATCGCCACTTTTAAAAAATTAGCTAAGCATAGATTCTAACCATAGCTTCCTCCCCAATCTATAAATTCCACTTGTAAGTAGAGTTTTAGAAGAAATATATCCAACTCAAACATGCACAAGGATGCTTATAAGGCTGGATAAGGTGGCACACATTTATAATCCCATCCCTTGGGAGGCTGAGGCAGGATGATTACAAGTTTGAGGTCATCCTGGACTGCACTGTGAGAACATCTCTGATGAATTAACTAGTATTTATGGTAGCTTTGTTCATAATAACCAAAGACTAGGGCCAGCCAGATAGCTCAGTGGACTAAAGCGCCTGCTTAGGCAGTTGCAGGGGCCAGGGTTTGATGCCTGGTGAGCGGTGCTGGCCCCATCCCCGGGGCAGGATGAGACAGTGACTGAGCCTGGCATGGTGGTGTGCACCTGCAATCCCAGCGCTTGGGAGGCTGTGAGCAGGAGGGTCACTCCGAGTCCAGTCTGTGTAGTGAGACCCTGTAGACCCTGCACTAAATACATAAATAAATAAAATCATTATACATAATAACTAAAGACTGAAACCAACCAAAATGTTCACCAGAAGTAGAATATTACTGGATAATTATAAAGAGCAAGCTATCACGAGCACAACATGGATCACTGTCACAGACATAATCCTGAGAGAAAGAAGCCAAGCGAAGAATACCATTATGATTCTGTGGATAGAGAAAAAGGGAGGAAGGTTAAAGCTGGCCTATTGCGGGAGAATAAGGACCAGCACTGCAGGACACTAAGCAGGAGCAGGGAGTGACCTTGGGGTAGGACCAAGGCTTCACATCTTGCCTGTGTGGTGGTTGTGTAGGGGGTACAGATGTAAGATGTGACTGAAGTGTATATTTGAGATTTGGGAAATTTACTAAACATGCCTAATATTGCCAGGCATGGTGGTACAGGCCTGTAATCCCAGCGCAGGGTGGGTAAGGCAGGAGAATGGTTGTGAGTTCGAAGCTAGCCTGAGCTACAAAGTGAGCTCAAGGTCCCCCTGAACTGAATAGTGAGATCCTATCTCAAAAAAGACCAAAAAAAGTGTATATTGTACCTGAGCAAGTAAAACACGTATATTGCATCATGAGAAAAGGATTTTTTTTTAATCCAAATATGAAGTTCTAAAAGCTAAGCTTGTGCCCAACATGCCAGCTCTTCATCAGTGACACATTGGTGACTTGAGGATGGCTGCATCCCATAATTCCCTGCAAGAAATGCTTGTGACCCCAAATTTCACAAGAATAATAGGATGGAAAACTGCTATCAAAGTTCCTTTTCCATGTAGACTGGAACAAATACAAGAATATAAACTATGTTTCATCGTATACATGATAGATAATGCACAAAGGACTCGTTTCTTTTCAGCAAATAGCTTTATCCCTTCCTAGTGTGCTGAGGTTAGGGAAGCCCTGCAGCAGTGGCCGAGTGTAGGAGTACCAATCAGGTAAGCTCCTCTTCTGTGAGATAGTCTTCAGCCTGGCTGTGCTGTGTTACAAGTACACTTCCACAGAGACTACAGAATTGGAAGGAAAAAAAAAAAACCCTTTGCCTTAATTTGACTGATCATTTGCTAATGGCTGAGGAGAGCCATTCTTGGGTCCACAGAAAGCATGTCAGCCCGTTCCAAAGAAGAGGGAGTGTCTTGACCCCTACGGACTTCAAATCCACTCAGAGAAGCGGCACAGCGAAGCAACAGAGAGTGCTGAGGGAGGAAGCCACGACCTGCGGCGCCTCAGGAGGGGCTGCAGCGCGGGTGTCAGAGCGCCCCTGAGGAGGCCCAAAGGGGAAGGCCCACTGGGAGCAGCTTCGTTTCTAAACGGGGCTCACTTACCTGGAGGACATTCCTTACTGGGTAAAAATCCACCTAAAGGAGTGTGGCCACGTGGCCAGCGCAGCACAGGGAGAAGTCTGTCCCTGGTCTCCAACCTTGTCCAGGCTCCACTTCCAAACCCTGTATCTTGGCAGCTGTTCGGAATCACGAGGAAAAGCTAAGTGTCAGCAGTGCTCATGGAAAAATTACAACTGAAACACAAAACAAAAAGCTCCAACGCACTGCAGAATCTCAGGAAGCCGAAGTTTCTAGACAGTCCCGGGATCTAAGACTTGAGGGTGGATGGCAATCGCCAGGGTGTGAGGTCCGGCTGACTCAACGGAGGGTGCCTGGAAAAGGCAGCCTGTCCTAGCTTTTGGTGGACATTGTAGGTACGTGTTCTAATAGACATTATTTGTACATTCCTGGAGAGTTTATGAATACCACTAGAATATTGAGGGAAAGATTGTGAATCCTGGAGTGGAGAGAACTTGGCAAACAGCTACTTGGGGGCTTCGAGTGGGCACGCCCTACACCTGCCTGCGCTGAACTCCTGCTGTGCGGGCCAGGTGCTGCTCTAAGTACGGGGGCACAGGGTAGCACCCAGTCCCGAACTTGCAGCCCCGAGAGTCCAGCAGAGAGACAGGGAGTGTTGTGCACCTGGGGGGGGGGAGGCGTTTGGGGAAGGAGAGGGCCAAGCACAGCGTCCTGATCGAAGACAGCACCATCTCACAGGCTGTTGTGAGGGTGCACGGGGTTGCTCAGGCCAGCTCTTTTGACACTGTTGAGCAAGAAGCAAGGTCTGATCCTTTTTTTCCTCTTTCGAATTTCTTATAACTTCTTTGCTATTGTGTTGTTTTGTTTTTTTCCTTTAAACGAATCTTACACATTTATATCTGGTAATCTGAACAACTAATTTAACAATAGCATCAAGTAATACAGCAACCATTGTTGAATTCCTATTACTTTGTTTAGCTAAGTCTTGCATTGTTTCTAATGTTTTTTATGACTATATTGTATTCTTTTTAAAGAAGAAGCAAGCTCTCAGCTTACGTGGTCACAGTAGACACAGGGTGCTGTTGGGGGCGGAGAAAGCGCAGACAGCTGGAGGCAGCCGGCCAGTCGGCGGTGGCTCGGGGCAGGCGGCTGCTACGGTAGGACCTACAGGATGAAGGTGAGACCACCAGAAGAGCCACCCCAGAGGCCGTGCGGGCGTGGACGAGAGAGACCGCGGCCCGGGAGCGGGGAGGAGGACAACCAGCAGAACCAGGTGCTGCCGATGACCGGAAGGAAACGGGGTCACGGCGCAAGCAGGACAGTGAACCCTAGACACAAGAAACGCTGACACGGAGAGGAGGGCTGCGCGTAGAGGAACAGGCTTAGGCTTGGTGACAGGGAATAGGGAGTTTTTCAAGAGGATTAAGCGAGGGGCTGGTGAGATGGCTCAGTGGTCTAAAGCACCTACTTAGAACAAGCTAAGCTAAGCAAAGCACAGGGACCGCGGTTCGATCCCCCAGCACCACATGCCAGCCAGCCCCGCCCCCTGGTGGCCTGAGCTGGCCACACACACACACACACACAAAATAAATAAAAAAAAAAAAAAAAAAAAAAAAAAAAAAGAGGATTAAGGGAGAAACGGCCTGGCACAGCCACAGGGAGAACCAAATCTAACCTTTTGACCCCAGAGGTTTGTGGACACACCGGAGTGGAGAAGAGGAGTTTCCATGGAAGAGTGTCTCAGAAAAAGGCCGGTGTCAATTATGTTCTTTTTTTCCCCCATAATTATTGAGAAACAAATAGCAATGAGACAGTTTCAAATCAAATTGGTAGGACAGTTTCAATAATTAACGCATTGCATACATTCTTCCTAGTGGTTAATTGCTGTACAAGATGCGGACATGATATCCTATTTACAAACCCTATTAGAACAAACTCCTCTATTCATTAAGAGAATGTAACTATATATCTATCCTAACCATTTTGAATACACAAATACAAAATGAACATTCATCTGTATCCCATTTTTTTTGTTTAGTTCCATTATTTGAATATTATAGGTGTGTAAACAGCAAAATATTCTAAAAGAGTCCAGTAGTCCATAATAGCATTGGGTCTTCCTCTTAACTGGCAATGTCAGAAATTGTTGACCTGAGTCTCCTACAGCTCAACACAACACCATGGCTTTACTTCTTATATTTTGTTTTTATACTTTTCTGCTGGATGGTTAAGACTAAGATAAAGGAGACAGGAAAACGAATGTTGTGGGACTGTCCTGCTTCAAGGTTGTATATGGTTAGATTTCTGGACTTATATGTAAACATAAGAATTATATAATTCTTTATGCCTCTTTATAAATACATTTTAATTTTTAAATGTTTTGCATCATATTCTGTAGGGACTTAAAGTTCAGCATATCAATACTTGATAAAAATACCTGTTCCCTGTTATGCCTAAGATGTTTGATATTCAGACAGATAGTGAGCTTAAGCTTAACAGCCTAGGTTGTATGGTAATAACAATAAGCTTCTCTTCTGGAGGGTTAATAACCTAAGTTTGCAGACCAAAATTAGAGAAAAAGGAGGGCGTCAAGGAAAGCCAACATTTGAGAGAGACAGCGAGTCCTGTCCCTACTCCACAGAACAATCCCTAACTTCAGAAGTGACAGCAGAGGAAGCCTATCTGATCCCGAAGGGCAAGTGTGATCCGCTCCCCACTCTCCCTACACCCAGCCTGTGTCTTTGTGAAGGAACAGCGTGACTCACCCCGTTGCTCATTGTCACCTCCATTGAGGTTGACTCCACTTCCCAACAGAGCCCACAGCTAAGAGCACAGTGCCGCCTTCCTCTGTCCTGCGTGCTGCCCAGGCGAATGCCACCCTGGTGTCAGGTAGGTGCCTCCTGCAAGAACCTCTGGGGAGCTCGGAAAATGGAGTAGCTGTTCAGTTTCCATCCGGTCGGAGCGCCTAGCTGTGAGGACTGCAGAGTGGACACCTGCGTCCTCCTCGACGCATCCGTTTGCTCCACCGTCTTTCATTCCACATTGTGTGCCCAGGGTGGGTGCTGGAGTTAGGATTCTAAGTTAAGAAAGCATGTGGCTGCTGACCTTCTGGAGCATATGAACGTAGGTCTTGCTGAAGCAGCATGAGGCGTCCGTGATTCGCCACTTCCTCTGCTGGTGTTGCTCTTCCATACAGCTCGGGGTGGCTTTATCCAGCTACCAGGACCAGCTCCTGACTCACAGTCCTGTTTCCTCTTCCAGAAGTGCCCGCCTTGTCCACCCATTCTCACCCTGCACACTCAGCTCACCAGCACCCAGCACCCAGCACCCAGCACCCCTGGAGGCTTCAGGTCAGAGCTGGTACTGTGCTCCTCAGCCTGCGATACGTGTTC